CACATCCACAGCTTTCTTTTCATTTTGACGCATACTATTTTTCTACTTTTTTTTTTTGTTCAACCATATCTTGGCAAATACCAACTTGTAGAAATGCGACACTAAATTTCAGTTGTACTTGATGATTGCAATACTCATTCAATTTGTTTTTAATATTTCTGCAGTTACTTCCTCTCTGCCACTGTATTACTCAATAGACGAGTTTTTTTTTGCATTCTGCGCAATTGATACGTGTATAACTTATTTTTAGCCTCGCCTTAAGTGAATCAGTCAAATATAAAAGGAACCTTTTACTTTTTAATCGTATATACAATACAACTATGTACACTTGTTTTTTTCTTTTTGTATGTATTGGCTTGGTCACCGCTTCAAAAGAAGCCTGTCCAATTGAAACTTATGCATCAAGCAGCTGTCTGGACAGTCGAGGCAAGGTGGTCAGAATCGACAATGGCTTTCGATCATCAATGAATACCATATGTGCTGTCGCGGTCCGTTGCAATGTCAAATTGTACATCACAGATTCGTACCGAAAATCCGATTCGACTGTAGCTGGTGCTATTGTACCTCCAGCGGCACGGAGTAATCATAAAGTTGGGCATGCCATCGATATGAATGTTGTGTATGGAAATAGCGGTTCGTTGTGTGATAGTAACTGTCTCCGTGGAATACAACCAACGGACGTCAAATGCTTCATCGACCAGATTAAGAGTGAAGGATTACGGTGGGGAGGCGACTTTACGGACCCAGATCCAATACATATCGATGATGGATATAATCTGAATAAAGACAATTATAAAGAACTTTACGAGAAGATCCGTGAAGAATGCTGATATTTTTTTCTCACGATTTGAAACTATCATTTGTACCACAATAATTTTCTATTATTTATTCTGGAAATTGTTCAAGGGCTTTGACAAAATATATTGTATTGCTCATTCTTTTTCTTTCATAATAAAGAATCGTATGATTCAAGACATGCACTATTTTATTTGACAGATTGCTGATGTTGAGGTTTCAAAGCAATTCAAGGTTGACAGTCATGCATATACCTTTATCCATACTCAACTATCCTGGCTTAATTGCATTGACTTTGTCTAGAAGTTTTTTTATTCATTTCGGTCACTGATTCTTCACGAAGAGCCCTGGGTCTCTTCAAGAGTAAATGGAATTCACACCTTTCATTCTTCTCATGATGACGAAAACTAATTCTTTGACATTCTCGAATTGGTAATATTGAACATATCTTTAGGAGACGGTTATGACTCTATTGCAATTTTCGATAGTTTTACCCTTCTTAAAACATTGAAAAACAGCGCACAATTTTCATGAATGTGGGTAATTCAATGAAGAGCAGGTACCTACCAACATCTACGCAAACCATCAACATCCACACCCACGACAGCACATTACACATACCTTCAAAAGCAGAAAGCTCAAACTGTAGACTTTATTGAACGCAATTTCGTTCCTCAAAACTAGAACCCATTTAGGAACACAAAGTAATAGTTAATATTTTAATAATAATCTTTTATATACTTTGTTACAAATAGAATTCTGTTATAATTCAGCTCACATTTTTAAAGTCTAATCAAATTTTAGAATATGAAACGGATCAGATCCAAAACACTATTGACAATTTGTATTTAACTAGTAATTAAGAATGTAAAAAAAAGTACATCGGTATGGAAATTCTGAATTCTGCTTGGTATGCATCCTGCAGTTGCTGAATATTGGTGGGAAAAAAATCCGAATATGGTCCTGTCGAGTTTGAATACAGAAATTTTGCTTTTCTTGAGTGAAGATCCACAAGGGTGTGGGTGTGGGTGGATGACGACAATTGAAAGACTAACACCGACACCCACACCCACACCCTATTAAGAATGATATCTTTACTTTACTTTTCTGTCGAGTGATTTAAGTAATGGGCAAATCCATAGAACGCGTGCCATACTTTTGAACGAAAAATTTCTATCCACTTTTAATATCTGATGACTATGCGGACAGTAAACTCGCATTAGTACTGACGGTAGTGAATCAGTGCCTGGTCACTTAGTTATTTGAGTAAAATGAAGGTGAAGTCATGGATAAAATCGGACTGGGTTACTCATCACTGTTGTGAACTGGCCAGTAACCGGCACCGGTTCTATCTATACGTGAAATGCTATTTATGGTTTCTATTGTATAGAACTTTTCGAAAAAAAACATACAGAAATACGGAAAATAAGCTCCGATAGTTTGACTCTACTTCAATCTACGCAGTTTCTTATTTGTTACGCTTCACTTTTTACTTTTGATTCATCCCTATTTATTGACTGATCAAATGTTAGCATTTGTATTTAAACAACTGAGATATTTCAGAAATGTTTTGGATTATCTTAATTTCGTCGATCACAATATTAATCATTGCAATATATTTTTACATAAAATGGAAATATTATACGCTACTTGGTTCAATACCTGGTCTAAAACCTGAATTCTTATTTGGTAATCTTCGTCAACTCGACATTATTGGACCAAATAGAGAACTATGTATTTTGTCGAGTCGAACATGCTGAACAAATTTATGCAGATCGTTCTCGATTCGATCGTGCAGAAGTGCATCTAAGAACAGTTGTATTAGTAGCAGAAAGTTTTATTATTTCACTTATAGGTCCAAAATACAAACGACATGCTAAAGCAGTTTTGCCTATGTTAAAAAAGAATAAATTTCTATCACAAATACCCATTATCATTAATTGCGTAGATCAACTAATTCATGTTTGGAAAATTCGATACGAAAATAAAGATGACATTATATGTACATGTCTAGTGAATGATCATCAACATTTAATGTTAGATACATTCACACTTCTAACGTTTGCTTATGATTTGGGCAATTTAAAATATTTAGCTAGAGAAGCAACACAAAGTAATCCAGACGAAAAATATGAATCATCCGATTTCAATCTCGCATTATCAATTTGGCTCGATGCATTGAAACGTGCCACAATGAATGGTATACCATACATCGTCAATTATTATTTATTGAAATTTGACCGAAAATATCAAATGCATTGAAAAAGCTTGAAAAATCAGGTGGAAAAAAATTATTTCAAAATGTCAAATGGAAATGAATCCAACTGATAAACCTGCTAATATTGTAGCATTATTAGTATCTTCATTACAAAAAGAGAATTATTGGGTGAAGTATTAGGATTGATTCTCGCTGGTTATAATACAACAGCAAATATCCTAGCTTGGTTTATGTATTATGCAAGTAAAAATCCTGAAGTTCAACAAAAAATAAAAGAAGAATTGAAACAACATAATATTACAAAAGAGACATCACTTGATGATTTGAATCCACGTGATCAATGTAAATATATTGATTGTGTCATCAACGAAACATTGAGAATGGTCCCAATTGGTATCGGTTCGTTACGAACAGTTATCGACAATGTTACTATTGATGGAGTTAATATTTGTAAAGGAGAAACAGTTGTATCGGCATTTGCTTTGATGCAACGTGATCCAAGATTTTGGAAATTAGATCCCAAACAGTTTATTCCTGAGAGATTTTTTGGTAATGATGCCCCTGATGTCAATCATCATCCGTTGGCATTTGCTCCATTTGGTGGTTGATGTCGTGTTTGTGCTAGACAAGAATTAGCACGATTAGAACTCAAGCTAATCATTATTCGATTTATGCTATTTGTCACTTTTGTTGATGCACCCAGAAACAACGGTGGCTATCGTCAAATCGCGCTTGTTGCACCAAAAGAACTTGCTGTTTTCATCAAATTCGATTGATTTTCTAATAGAATATTTTAATACTCTCATAATATTCACTCTATACGTAGTTCTAGGAGAGCAAAAGCTCTAACCATTCGATTGTTCTCTATTGCTTTTCTCATTTTAAATCTTTTTAAAATACATTTCTTCTTTTCAATAAACAGAATCATAGATGTAAAGTTCACGAATAAGAGTCATTGTTGACGCTGATAAAGATCCAAAATTTGTCGACTTTACTTAAAGTCTACTGAGAAAATGTCAGATGTTACATAACTGCCATAATTTTGGAGAATGTGAGTCTTGTCTTTGTCAATTCGAAAATCGTACAAACAAAATTTAAATTTGAAGGTAAAACATAAAATGTACAACCGTTTAATATAACTTAATTAAAAAGATGATGAATCATTGATGTCACTTAATTATAATATCGAAGTTATTTGTGAAGTTGATACTGGAAATCAAACACCTGTTTTTTAAACGTGTCAATATTAATTATAAAACAAGTTAGGCAGTTCAAGTTGCAAATATCGTTGGACAAGTGGAAAGAAAAACGAGTTTAAAACCTGAAAATTTGTTTCAATAAAGAAAGAAAATTGGTTGAAGATTTAAGCAATTATTTGGGTGTGAATTTTGATTTTTAATTTCAAACTGACCTTAAACCTATACAAATTTTTGTATCAATCTTTAAGTTGAGTTCCTATTTGGTGTAGACTCAAATGAGAGCAAGTCTTCAGTTGTTTTGGGTATTATTATCTAGAACAAATCGTTTATTAGTTGTATCAATTGATAAGTTGATGTTCGTGCATATCTCATGTAAAAAAAACGGCTCAAACCCACAGCTACATCCTTTTGATTCTGTTAATCATTATGATGAAAACTGGAATTTTCAAAACAAATTGAATGAATATTTGAGTTTAATGTCATTTGGATTTATTAAGATTGATTTGAAGTAGGAGTAAGTAGACATAAAATATAAAGTTAAAATTCTTTCATTTTATTTTGCTGTAACTACGTAATTTAGTTGACATACGTGTTTTTATTTTTAAAATAATTAAATACAAGTGAAGTTTTCAAGTTCATTATTTTGTTCTTCGATTTGTTACAGAATTCAGCGAATTTTTTTATTGTATTATAAATCTATTAGAAACATGATGTATTCTCTTGTGCTGCTGGGAAGTTTTTGATTCTTTTCTCTTTTCTATTGACGTAAAAGCGAGTCAATGTTCTTTATAATTCTACCGATATACGAGTAATTTAAAAAACTTTTTCTTACCTATTTATTGATCAACTTTTTATAATTAAATATAAAGAAAATCTGTCGTTCTGAAGAAGACAAGTCGTAGTTTCTCTTGTTGTTCCATTGATTTTTGTTATGTACGACATCACGAGCTAAATGTAAAATGACATATGTTGCCATTGAATATAAGGAAAATGCAAGACAAATTGATGCTTTTATTCATTTCTTCTGTTGTGTAGATTTTATTCAACTTTATGTTTTACTATATCATGTTTATCATTCAGTTTTTGTTTTATTTGACAAAGTTTTTAGGTTCATTCGTTCATTATACAGTGCTGGACAAAAGTTCTGGGACAAACTTTTCCTTTTATAACTTTCGGTTAGGAATCTATCATGAGCCAATGGTGGTGTGCTTTGATAGATCTAAGAGACGCCTTTCATATACTATTATAGCATTATGAATTGGAAGCTTCTGTAGAAAGTTATATAAGTTTAAATGTTAGTCCATTGGCCAAAAGTTCTGGGACACTGCAGGACTAATCCATTGGATACTAGACATTGTATACAAAAAATGATCAGAGGAAGCTGAAAATTTCAGCATTTATAGTTCTTACGAGGACAATATTATTCATAAAAAAAATTCGAAAGATCAATTAGCATCATAGTTTTCCGTGACTAACAAAAATTGTACTGCTAGAGACTTGAGGTCCCCATCGATCTCAGTTCTTGTACATGGAACTTTCACAAAACTTTCAGGATAGATTGATTACAATGTCACTAGTAAATACTCAAAGTTTCAGTCCATTTCTCCACGTCAGTTCCGAGATATCTCAAATTTAAGGGCAAAAAACAGCACTTTTTCAGTGCAGAACTACTTTCACGCCTTACGTGCAAAATGACTGGTGACGGTTTTAAATGATAGGAGACATATGGCATGATGTTGCTATGGTATCCATTTTTTCATTTTCTCATTACTTGCTTAGTAACTGAGATTTCAT